AACAGAGGTTTGCAGTCACACACATCTGATTCCCTTTTACAGTTATGGAGTTCCCAAACTTCCGAAGCCCATTTCTCGACCTGTTTTCCGCTGTTAGGATCCAACAACCACACAATTATGATGTCCGAATCCCAAAACTAAAATATGACAGAACCAGAAACAAAAGTGATATGGTTCAAAAGGGTCCGGTCAAGTGGTAACGGAGGGAAACAGGGGCAGATTTTTTACATTCAAATGTCTCTTATTCAGAAACTAGAGGGACTATTGAAATAAGTAAAGTATCAGAATGTAGGAAAGAGTTACACTCCAACAGGGTCAAGTTAAACCTGTGATATTCTTTCAAGTTGTTGACAAAAAATTTAAAAACTCATGTTGTGGTAACGGAGGGAATGAAATATGCAGCACTTTTTGGGCAATAAATCCAAACAGTGATAACTCTTGGTTCTCACTTACATATCCTTAACAAACTGGTTTGAATATTTGCTTCATATAGTTTTCTACCATATGGTACAAGATTAGGTTGAAAAACCTCTTACTTTTTGAGTAATGAGATTTTTTATTAAGAAAGGTCATGGTAACGGAGGGAAAAGTAACGGAGGGAAAATTGTGCAAACAAGTAGAAGGTGCAGGATTTTACATAATTTGTCGCTTTTTTCTTCCGAAAACTTTAATATTACTTCAAAATAAAAGGAAACTATTTCTATAAAATATGTCAGTCCTTCCAAGCAAATTTTTATCATTTTAAATAAAATTTTTTTGAAAAAATGTCCCTTCATCAACAGTTCAAAGATGGAATAACACAAGATATGATGAAATACATCCATTTATTTACATGATTTGCAGGTCTTTTGAAATTTGGGAAATAATTTTTGTTCCATGTTTCATACATGGTCTGTTTAAAACATATGGAACTTTAGAACCAAAAATGGTACAGAAAAAAGGTCAACAGTTTCATAAACTAGAGTACATATGTATCTGTTCAATACATTTTTATATCAGATGCATTAAATTGAATTTTTGGCCTTGTTGTTTACTTCTGCTTGACCGGGCCAAAGACTTGACAAGATCAACTTTGACAATACACGCATTGCACTGGGAAAACAAACATGGAGGTTTGATGCTCACTTTCTCGGAGGATCCTTCCCAGTATGAATTGCGCGATGACCAGACGTCTACATCTCAGAACGTCTAATAAACAAAATGTGAACTAAAGCGTATTAAATTAATACTACTGGGTTTTCAAATATTGGTTGTGACATGTCCCCACCTTTCCTATGCAAACCTACACCCTTGAGTGAAGGTGTATAGAGTTTAAAAACCCAGTGGAGCACTTCCTGTATGTATATGACATCATAAGGTGGAACAGAGTGTTGAACTCAGCCTAAATCTGCAGGGTTTGAGTGTAAAACATGTGTGAAAGAAACAAAACACAACTCCTGGTCTGTTTTTGACGAGGTAACAGCTTTATAACTTTTGAATATACAGTAAATATATATTCTGTCTTTTCTGGCTGGAATTAAAAGCAGGATTATGAATATTTCAGAGTTTCCCACACACTGTCAAACTGTCCAGATGACTTTTTTTTTGGAGCGTGCCCGGGGTTTTGGAGAAGTCTGTTTCATAAGCGTCCCTGCTGCACATGTCACGGCGGTTGTCAGTGTGGTTCCCGGCTGTAGTTTCCTGTAGAACACTGGGACTCATATGCAGCCTCGTCACTAACAGCACACGTGTTAAAAATGCAGAGGCAGCGCTGGTGTGGCTGGCATAAGCAGACGCGTCGGGCTCGGGGGGCTCGCTCCGCACTCTGATTATGTTTTACACATGTTTTGCTCTGGGAGATGGCGCAAGTGTCGCACGAAAACTCAACGGACGGAACAAATTAAACACAAAAGTGAAGAAAAGAAACACTAGTCTAATAATACAGTGGTCCCTCGTTTATCGCGGCGGTCACGTTCTAAAAAATAACCCACGAAAGGTGAAATCCGCGACGTAGCCGACTTTATATTTTACAATTATTATATCTGTTTTAAGGCTGTAAAACTCCTCACCGCACACTTTAAACACTTTTCTCAGACTTAAAACTTATTGCTGCTGTCGTCCTTTTGTTATTTTCCTCCTTCTTTATGTAACGAACTGAAGATGAATTTATTCCGTAATGGAACCTACAGCGCAGAGTCCTGCACGGGTCCATTTTTGGAGACTCCCACCCGCACAGTTCAGCACCGCACCCGCCCGTTAACCCGAGATTATATCAAACTTTTGCACTGCCTACATCACGGACTGAACCAAGACTAAACCAGGACTAACCCAGGACTAACCTACTAATTCCAGGACTGAACTAGGACTAAACCAGGACTGAAACAGGACTCACCGTCAGGACGGACTCGAAGGTGACCGTAGGAGAAAGGACCGGCTCAGCTCTGTAAGCGCAGCCGTCGCCCAGTTGCGCTTTAAAGGTTGTATAGAGGATTTTTTTAAGGGCAGAGAAATACAGCGCGTTCAGAATTACTGTTGAAGTTTCCTGTCTAGAGGTAATTTACCGACCGACGCGTCAGTTTTTAGACCCTTCGTCTGTTTCAGTCGCGCCATCGGTGGAAGGAATCTCCAAGAATCACCTCAGTTTGTCTTTGCTCCTTTTCTCCTTCTCTTCTTCTTTCAGCGACCTCAAAAACCGACTTTCTTTTGCGGCGAACCGGTCGTGGATTCTCGTGCGCCGTCTCAACAAACTTTGTGCGAAATGCGAGGAAACTACAGTTTGAAAAAGCCTCTAAGAACCGCCGCATAAACCACATAATCCCCGCGCTCCGACGAGTCAGTTACACTAGGGAGTTTGATTGACAACCTAACAGCCAATAGAAAATGAGGGAGCCTCGTTTTCTATTGGCTGATGTTTATCTGTCCTCACTACATCCACAGTTGATAGATTTTCATTCTTTTTTTTTTTTGGTCATTATAATTACAAAGCTGCTGCGTCTCTGTAATGGTATTTTAAACTTTCATTGACAATTTGAAACAAAAAAAATCCTCCATACAACCTTTAAGTCCTGGTTTCAGCAACTATTTCTGTGTACGGACCCGGCGCAGGACTCTGCTACAGCTGAGTGACTTCTACCTTCCTTCAGCATGTCCAGAAATCCATCTTTCTGTGCGATGTTTTGGATCTTCCTCTGTCTTTTAGGTGCGACCGCAGGAGCCTTTGTCGGTGCAGAACATTTCGTCGACATTGTGGGTTTTGTCGGGGAAAAAACTTGCAAAAATATATAGCACTTCAGAATCACACTGATACAGATCCAACATTTATGTAAAGTTGACTGAACACATTCTGTACTGTACAGGAGACAGGAGTCCCTTAGCCAATCAGGACGCAGGATGAACGCAATATGCATTCATACACTGTAAAAAAAAGGCATGGAAAATTGCACACAAAAAAAAAAAATAGGCGAAACCGCGATATAGGGACGACTGTAATCCATTTGTTTATATGTTGCTTTTCCAGACGCTCATAGTTTCTTTACAGTTTAGCGCATTCTTCATTCACTGTGCTGGTGAGACACTGTTGTAGCCACAGCTGCCCTGGGACAGACTGACGAAAGTGAGGCTCTGAAAACCACCAACACTCACACAAACACCACATTTAGGGTCTGTACACGAGAACACTTGCGGGTAAAAACGACAAAATATTTTTATCAGAAGTGCCTTTCGTTTAGACGGTGACGGCGTTTTTGGGGCTTAAAACACAGAAATATGAAACCGCCCTCCAGAGTGCAAAAGTTGAATACACTCCGCTGTAGCATTTCCGTCTACACTGACCAAGACGCAAAACTCTGGTCAGATCTGCTCAGGTCACGTACACGTTTACATCACATACGTCACCACTGAGCGTCACCACCGAGCCGCCTGGCATGTATACTCAATAGAATTCCACACTCGTCTAAACACGGAATAAAAAGTGAAGACGCGACGCCACTTTCGCTTCTTCTGTTCAGACCGTTATCATATAAACGTAGCCTCATACTCGGCAAGCAAGTGTTTTTCCTAATGACACAATGATCTGACACTGGCGCTCGGCTGTGGCACTTGGTATTCACGCTCTCCCGTCCAAATACTAACCAGTTCCAGCCTTCTGAGATCTGCCCAGATCAACTTTGACAAGGAGTTTTGGCCAAGAAAATAGTGTTGTTTGAAAGATGAATCACAAGCTTGGTTTAATGTTTCATCTGTTCTTTTCACTGCCCAAAAAAAAAACTTCATTCGTTTTTCAATGTAAAACCAAAATAAGAAAACAACAACAAAAAACAACAACAACAACAATTTTCTTCATTATTTGTCTCCAAAACCAAAATGAAAAAACGGATAACGACCGTTTCCTGTTTACGTGACTGCGATACCGGACTGAACCAAGACTGAAACAGCACTAAACCGTTTTCAGTCCTGGTCTGGTTCCAGTCTCAGTCCTGGTCTCAGTCCCGGTCTGGTTCTGGTCTGATCCTGGACCTAGTTCAGTCCTGGTTCAGTCCTGGTTCAGTCCTGGTTCAGTCCGGCATCGCAGTTTAAGTCATGTAAATGGGAAATTGAGACCGGGACTGAGACCGAGGCCAGGCCAGGACCAGACCGGGACCAGAACTGAAACCGGGACCAGACCAAAACTCAGACCGTAACCCTAACCCGAGAAAGGGACTGAGACCAGGACTGAGACCATTTCAGTTTAAGTCACATAAAAAGGTCCGTTTTTTTTTTTTTTTTTTTTTTTCCATTTTTTCATTTAAACACAAAATCGAAAACTGAAAAAACTAATTGTTATCTGTTTTTTTCATTTTGGTTTTGGAGACAAATAATGAAGAAAATGGTTGTTTTTTTCATTTTCTTATTTTTGGTTTTATATTGAAAAATGAATAAACTAATGATACACAGATTGTCCATACACTCATTTTCATTTCTCCAAAAACAGCACTTACATTATTAATAGTTTCTTATTTATCTCATTTCTACTCAGTACTCACAACGCGTCTTGCCAAATGACACCACAACAGTCTGCTCCGGTTGTTCTTCAAGACTTCCACCTGAGCCACATGACCTTCTCCGAGAGGAACTACAAATATAAAACTGCACACGGTGGATTACGTAAGAGCACAGAGGAGTGTCCACAGCGCCCTCTTGTTTTCACACTCTGTACGACGCGACACGCACGACACGCACGACACACTGCAGGGAAACCCCGCTCCAGGAAATCTCCCAGGAAGTCAATGTCACGTCCCCACCGAGCACGGAAGCTGCGAGTGTGTGCGTTTGTGTGTGTGTCGAGGTGTGAAGTGTGTAAACGCACGCCGCCTCCAGCTCCGAGACGACAGCTTTTAATTGGACACGGTGTTTGAGAGTGAATGAAAGGAGGAGGAGGAGGGTGACGCTATGTGCACATTGCAAAAAAAAAAAAGAAAAAAGAGGGATATTTTATTTTTTTTACCTGCAAACACATAAATATTTCGATCATCATGTTCCGTTTTGTTGTTTAAACTTTCTCTCTTCACTGCAAATGTGTTCAAATGTTTAATTAGTTTCCGTTTTTCAGTTTTGGTTTTCCACGCTCTGATTCCTCCCTCCATTTTCTTTCCCGCACTAAGTCACTCCCCCTTCAGAGCGCTGTCACAACACAATCAGAGTGCGTCCCGCTAATGAAACTGCCGCACGTCGCGTCAGGTTTGTGCTGCTAAAGATGAGGAGGGGTCAGACAGGGAGAGATCGCTAAATTACTCCAACATGAAAACGATTCAGATATGCATGGATGATGTCTGTTTGTGTTGCCAGTTTCATTGTGGAAATTCAGCGTGTTGAAACCGAAAATGTCTCTCCCTGATTTAAACGGTCATTATCTAAACCCCAAAAACTGCAGCTCAGGGAGGGAATTTTGGAGATTCTGAGCTTCACATGAGACCTGAACATATAATAAATACACATAAACTGAGAATGAGATTTAGTTTTTTTTTACATTAACACCACAGGATACATACTTGATTCTCTATCCTTATGTATATATTAAACTGTAATATCCAGGTATTGGACTTTGCATAGAATCGAGGTAATAAGGTAAAAAAGATTGATGCTTTTTTGTCTCACCTATAACATGAGGAATGGAACCGACCAAAATATGTGTCTAATGAAAAGCAGAAATCATCTCTTACTGTATGTAGAAGCATCTGGATATAAAACTATGGACATGAAAAATACAAGCTTTTGAAGAACTTTGGTATTTTCATGTTTAGTTTGATTTATTTATCAGTTTATTTGAATGTGGACAATGCACATTGAAACATTCTCTCCCTGAACTGCAGCGGCTGCACTAGCACTGGTTCAGGGTTGTGCAGGTGCTGGGTTTAGGCTTGGGTTTTAGGTTTAAACCAACTGGATTTCAACACTGGAAATGGCAACACAAAAATGAGAGTGATGTGAGGCTCATTCTGCTTTCTGATTGGATAATCATCTAATCCAGGGGTTTGCAACAGGATATAATTTCCAACTTCCAACTTCATGAAGCCTAATGAAGGTTACTCTTGACATTACTGAACATCAGTAAGACACCAGGACTAAAACAGGACTAAAACAGGACTAAACCAGGACTAATTTTGGACTTGAGAGAGAACCCCGAGCTGGCGAAGCAGGGCGTCCGCAATGCGCGATCAGGCGATGGCTGCACGTAGCCCAGTGAGGCGTGAAGTTCTGCGCTAGTCGGACTACGTGGGTGAACCTTTGGGCATGTTCTGACACTCATTCTCGGTTCAGTTCTGGTTTAGTCCTGTTTTGTCCTGGGGTCGGGTCGGGCCTAAAATGTCAATCCTTACTTCGGGTCGGGTCGGGCTTCTCTTTCGCTGACTTTTTTTCAAATAAATATATGTTTATAAAATGTATGCTAAAACGATGTGTGGATACTAAACTAAGGAATACTTGTTATAAAATAAATAATATGGATAAAACAGAGAAGTAATGTAATGTAATTGCAATTTAACTACTAAACAGCGCACGTGAACGCCCCCTCTTAATTTAATAATCTTCCCCTCCGCAAGTCTGCATCTATTTTGACCTGGTGTCCCCAATATGGAGGAGCAAGAAGTTAAACTAAAGGCAGGAGAACTGAAAAGACAAACACGCACCGGTAAGAGTGAGGTGTGGAAAAGCTTCAAATTGATTGTTGAAAATGCTACAGAAACTTGCGTTGGCTTCGCTGAATGTCGTCAATGTGGCGCTTTGCTTCATACGAGATCAAAAAGACTGGCACCTCGACGCTGAGCACTGCTCCTCCTCCCGAGTCACAAATAAAATATGACATTTCGGGTTTGCTTCGGGCTCGGGCCTGCAAATCAAGTTAATTGGTCGGGCTCGGGCCGGGTCGGGTTTTAATACCCGCGGGCCGGGTCGGGTCGGGCTGGATTTTTTAGGCCCGATCTCACTTCTAGTCCTGGTTTAGTCTTTGGTGCCTCCCAGGGGAATCAGACCTTTTGAAAACCTCTGCTCTAACTGAACATAAACACCACATTAAAACAAAAACAACTCGGCATCATCTCCAATGTTTTTAAGAATAAATCAGCATTACAATTATTATGAATTAAAGATATCATTTCCTCAGTATTTACAGAGGAGGTCAGGTTTATGTAATTAAATCAGTTCCTTTGAGGCAGTAGAACCTATTTTAGCACAGGAAACAAACAGCTCTTTTAAGTTTTTAGCTCTTAGTAGTAGCTTTTTTTTTTTCTTTCAGATTTTTAACAAATAACCAAAACACAAATACACACAGATTGATCTCGTTGGTCCTGAATCATCTGGAGTCTAAAAACATTTGAACATGTGCAGTGTTCTCCACCAACTGTCCTCCATCCCAACTCTCTCCGTCTCTCCAAAGACTTGAGAGTGAAGAAAAGATAAAAGCGCGGCGGCGTACGTTACAGTGAGACGGGCTCTAAGGGCGCGCGCGGAGGTAAAGGCGTACGTACGTGTGTGTGTGTGCGTGTGTGTGTGTGTGTGTGTGCGTGGGGCATACTGAACAGGCTCCTTGATGTTCCTCACACTGATCTCCAAAGCCTCGCTCCAGTTTGAAGAGACGGATGACGGAGAACGTGAGGAGAAGAGGAGGAGGGGAGAGAAGGATAAGAAAGAGAGAAGGAGAGAGGAGGAGAAGAGGTGCAGAGAGGGAAGAAGGAGAGGACGAAGAGAGAAGAGAGAAGAGGAAGAGAGAGATGAGGAGTGCAGAGACAAGGAGAGAGAGGAGGAAAAGAGGAAAGAGAGGAGCAGAGAGGAGAAGGAGAGAGAGAGAGAGTACGAGGTTAGAGTGGAGGAGGACAGAGAGGAGGAGAAAGTGGAGAAGGATGAGAGAGAGAAGTTGGAGAGAGGAGGAGAGAGTAGAGGAGAGAGGAGGAAGAGAGAGATGAGGAGTGGAGAGACAAGGAGAGAGAGGAGAAAAAGAGGAAAGAGAGGAGCAGAGAGGAGAAGGAGAGGAAGGAGAGAAGAGGAGGAGTGGAGAGAAGGAGAGGAAGAGAGAAGGAGAGGAGGAGAGAGAGAGGAGCAGGAGAGAAGAGAGAGGAGGAGAGAGAGAAGAGAGACGAGGAGGAGGAGAGAGAGAGAGAGGAAGAGAGAGGAGGAAGAGAGAGATGAGGAGTGGAGAGACAAGGAGTGAGAGATGAGGAGAGAGAGGAGGAAAAGAGGAAAGAGAGGAGCAGAGAGGAGACGGAGAGAGAGGGAGAAAGAGAGGAGGAGACAGAAGAGAGAGAAGAAGAGGAGGAGAGAAGAGGAGGAGGGGAGAGTAGAAGAGAGAGAGAGAGGAGAAGAGAGAGAGAGTACGAGGTTAGAGTGGAGGAGGAGAAAGTGGAGAAGGATGAGAGAGAGAATGTGGAGAGAGAGAAGAGAGAAGGAGAGATGAAGGGGAGAGGAGGAGAAGAAAGAGAAGAGAATGAGAGAGTAGAGGAGAGAGAAGAGGAGAAGAGAGAGAAGAAGAGAGAGGAGGAGGAGAGAGAAGAGAGCGAAGAGGAGAAGAGAGGAGCAGAGAGAGAAGAGAGCGAAGAGGAGAAGAGAGGAGCAGAGAGAGAAGAGAGCGAAGAGGAGGAGGGGAAAGGAGGAGGAGAGAGAGGAGGAGGAGAGAGGAAAAGGAGAGATGAACAGGAGAGGAGAAGAAGAAAGAGAAGAGAAGGAGAGAGTAGAGAAGGAGAAGAGAGGAGCAGAGAGAGAAGAAGAGAGAGGAGGAGGAGAGAGTAGAGGAGATAGAAGAGGGAGAAGAGGAGGAGTGGAAAGGAGGAGGAGAGAGAGGAGAGAGTGAAGAGGAGGAGGAGAAAGGAGGAGGAGAGAAGAAGAAGTAAAGAGAGAGGAGGAGAGAGAGAAGAGGAGGAGGAGAGAGAAGAAGAAGTAAAGAGAGAGGAGGAGAGAGAGAGAGAGGAGGAGGAGGAGAGAGAAGAGAGTGAGAGAGGAGAGGAGAGAAGGACGAGGAGAGAGAAGAAGAGGAGAGGATAGAGGAGAAGAAGAGAGAGAGAGAGAGAGAGAGAGGAAGAGAGAAGAAGAGGAGGAGAGAGAGAAGAGGAGAAGAGAGGAGCAGAGAGAGAAGAAGAGAGAGGAGGAGAGAGAGTAGAGGAGATAGAAGAGAGAGAAGAGAGCGAAGAGGAGGAGTGGAAAGAGGAGAGAGAAGAGAGAAGAAGAGAGAGGAGGAGAGAGAGAAGAGAAGAAGAGGAGAGAGAGAGGAGAGAGAGAGAGAGAGAGGAGAGAGAGAGGAGAGAGAGGAGAGAGAGAGGAGAGAGAGGAGTGGGTGTGACAGCAGCTCACACTACACTGACGTTCAGCAGGATTATGGAGCTGTGGATTATTCCCGTTTTCTCGGCGTCATTAGAGTGAATTAAGAATCGAGCCAAGATTTTCTGTGAAAACGCGACAATTGAATAAAGAGCCAGTGTCATGTTCATCGTGTGTTTGTTTTCATGTGTTAAAGAAACCCTCTTGTGCTCGTTTCTGCTCTGTTGTTCTCATCTCCTAAAGCCCCGTGGATCATTATGTTATAATATACACGTTTTAAATCACAATATTCATGTAAAACAACTTAATAAAAGAAACAAACCCACTGACTGAAAACTGTGGAGCCCAAAGGAGCTGACGTCACTGTGAACATCAAAGAGGCAGAATCAGAGATCTGCACATCACATTCGAGCATTTGTACCAAAATGTGAACGGGAAACTGCTGAATCCTACATGTGTCACTGATGAAGAAAATAAAATAGGAGAATGAAATACTCCACACACAGAAGAGCAAAATGGTGCCTTGAAAATAAGCAATTACAGAATGACTCAAACATGATCGAATCTCTCTAGATCAGGAGTCTCCAACCTGTAGCTCAGGAGCCACCAGTCCTGTAGATCTGTACATCTCCACCTCCTTCCAAGAAGCTCATCAAAGGATTTCTGAATTATATGTATTGCACTTCATTTCTAAAATCTGATTAATTACCATTGTGCATGTTTCATTTTGTGCACTAATAAATGGATAATGGTTTATGTTTAACCCTCTCAGGCTCAAATTAATTTTTAGTATCAGGAAAAATCTGATATTTGGGGAAAATTATAATATGGGGTAGTAATATACAATCCTGACTTTTTTATCCTTTGTAAAAAGAAAAGTATTTTGCACTTCTGGCCGTTTGCGTGGAGCCGTGCATCGTCCACGTTTATCAGCATGGGTGGGAGAAAAGGCTCCTGAGTAAAAAAAGCTCATAAAATATGGATGTGGAGTAAGTAGGTAATTGGAATTTAGCTGTTGCAAATCTGCAACGTCTGCCTGGAGAGGGTTAATAGGCGTCTGACTGTGCCCTGTCAGAAGATTGCCAGAGCTCTGTGCCTCAGAGACTTTAAAGCAGCTCTGCTTGTACAAGTGTCTCCATGGCCGAGCACCAAAGTCCATCTGTGACATGTTAGTGTCATATGAACCATCTCACACTCTGAGGACCTCAGGGACCAACTCCTGCTGGTGCCCAGAGTCACGACTAAACAAGGGGAGTCAGAGTTTCAGGTTCAAGCAGCTAAAACCTGGAACAGTCTGAACATGTGAGACAGACTCTTCTGTGACGCTGTTTAAATCCAGGCTCAAAACATTTCTGTTTGACTGTACATATATTCATATTTTTTATACCCCTGCTTGCGCTCTGAGGTCCGAGGTCCAGCTCCAGCTCAGGGCCTAAGACGAGACTTAAAACCAGGAGGACAGGAGCTTCTCTGTGGTCGACCCTAAACTCTGGAACAATCTGCCGCTTCACGTTCGAGCAGCTCCACAGTGGAGAGTTTTAAATCTCGTCTGAAGACCCACTTTTATTCTCTGGCTTTTAACACCGCGTGAGTTGTTGCTCCTCTGTGTCTTTTATTTATTTTTATGTGTTTTTATTGGTTTTACTGATTTAATTTATTTATTGGTTTATTTATTTCTATTCTATGATATAGTTTTATTTTTATTTTACTGGTTTTATATTATTTTACTAGTTTTATTACTTTAAGACTAATATTATTTTAGTAATTTACTTTATCATCTTATTGTTGTTATTTTGTATGTATTTGTGCAGCACTTTGGAAACAGTTTGTTTGTGAAATGTGCTATAGAAATAAAGTGGATTGGATTGGATTGGATATAACTGAAAGGTTTTCATTCTGCACTCTTCTCTCCAATTTATGTCTCTCTTTTTTAATTTTAATCTTCATGATTATTTATGTTTTGATTTGTTTTTATTATGATTTTAATGTATTTCTTATTCTGTAAAGCACTTTGAATTACTTGTACGAATTGTGCTGTACAAATAAACTACTACTACTTCCTCAGTTTCTTGCAACAGATAAAACTCATAGCTCTCTGGCTTTTATTAATGCATCAGTTTTATAAAGCACTTTTTTGGACACTCAGTGACACTTTACAGAGCATTATTCATTCAGTCCAGACCCGGTGGTGGTAAACTGCTATTGTAGATACTGCTGCCCTGGTACAGACCTACAGTTGTACTTTGCTTCAGACCGAAACCATGTTTAAGGCCAATAAAGCTGAAAGCAGTGATGTTTGCATGATGTGGGCGATGGTATTGTCCAAACGTTTTTGTTTTGACACAGTCGCTCACAGTGCAGCTGTTGTGTTCATTGGATCTGACTTAGTCCTGGTTTAGTCTTGTTTTTTTGGCTTAAAAAAAAAAAAATCCAAATAAAAAAATAACGATCCAAACTCCACGCTTTTACTGACCGAGGACTGACAGCAGACTTCTCTCGTTAAAAAGACCCAAGCCAATCATTTACCATTTTACTGCTGAATCTCCATTAGAATCAATATCTATTCTACAGTTTCCCGCACGGTGTCACAGAAGACGACAGTAAAGTCACAATAGTCGTTTGCGATTACGATTTTTTAACATTTTATTTGACATGATTTATCTGTCAGTCAAACCCTCCAATGATCCAGGATCCAGTGCCCGTCCAGTCCGTCCTAAAGACCCTGCGTCTGCGTTTCCCGTACACACACCTCCTCCCGTCTCATGAGGCCGAGCGGACAACATCGTTTCCTTTAACATCAGCCCCTAAGATTACCCCACCCTCCTCCCTCCGCCCTCGCTAACGTCATCCGGCTCCTCTGGTGGCGGCTACAATCACATTTCCCCACAATACACCACTCCTCCGTGAGCGCCCGGGGGTCCAGCCTTCACCCCGCCGTTTTGTTTTTCCTCGTTTCTTTTTTTTTTGTTTTTTTTTTTGTTTTTGTGCTGCGTCTGCTCTGACCTTGCCCTCGCCGGTTTCCTGGTTTCCTCCCCTGAAGGCGAGGGGCTCGGGAGGAGGTGCGGTTTGGACTTTTCAGATTTTCTTTAGCTCCCGTCTCCGTAAGTGACAAAAGCTGTAGGCGCGCTTTTCCGCAGATGTGATATGCATTGTGAACTGCTGTCAGGTCACGTTAAAAGGACGGCGCGTAAGATTTTGATTTTAAATCCTTTGAACGTGACCTAACCGTGTCCCCAGATACGAAACACGGCTTCTACTGGTGACAACTGGTTTGTTCTTGAAGGTGGTGGAAGCTCCGGCAAATGATTTTCTCCATGGAGATGTTAGTGCTTTGTCCGAAATGTTTCACCGTGTGGCATTAAACCTTTCTATGTTCATTCAGACAGAACCAGACCAAGTTACAGTCAGAACGTTGTTTTTCTAAGGATTTTTGAGCTCTAAACCCACCTGTAATTGAATAAATGAAAGTTAGAGATGTTTAATGTCACACTGTGGAATAGAGCTGCGCGATTATGGAAAAAAATCACGATTATTTTAGTCAATATTGAAATCACGATTATTCAAACGATTATTTTTTAGTTAACAATGCTTTTATTCAGCATTTTTCTCTCACAAAACCCCTAGTCAGGCTGGGGCCACCTAGTGCCTCCGCTCAATTTCATTTCTCTCCAGCGACTAGATCAGGAATCAGAATAAACTAGACCACAGGTGTCAAACATACGGCCCGGGGGCCAGATCCGGCCCTCCAAGACCTTTAATCTGGCCCTTGGCTGATTTTCTACTAAAATATTTTTATTATATTTTCTATTAAAACATTGTTAATTTTCTGTGGTGTTTATCACAGCAGCGTCTCCAGCGTCTCTGTACGTGGCCCCTCCCACCAGAGCAGCACAAATGAAGACTTGTCTCTTTCCAAACGCTCTTAAAGGACGATCGTTTTGACTGTTGACCGTGACACCCTCATCAGAAAAATGTCCAACATGAGAAAAGTGGAGCAGAGTGCAGGATTATTCCTGTTTACATACAAGTTCATGTTAAAACATTGTGTTGAAATTACATTTTTCTTAAAGTTTCAGGTTGTTCATAATATTATAATATTTCGTAAAAGAAAGAGTTCATCAATTAAAAAAGATTTCTGTAATAGATTTGTGTTTCTCTGCACAAATATTTGAACTTATTGATATTTTTGGGGTAAATATGACATGAGTTTTCTGATCCGGCCCCTTTGGGATCAAAGTAGGTTGGATACGACCCCCAGACCAAAATGAGTTTGACACCTGCACTAGACGTTTAGACTAAAACAGGTCTAAACGAGGACTAAACCAGGGCTGATCTTGGACTTGAGAGGGAGGGAGAACCCCAAGCCCAAGGAGCAAGGTGTCCACAAAGCCCGATCGGGCAACGGCTGCTCTTTGCCCTGTGGGGTGTGGTGCTCTGCGCTGGTCCTTTCTCCTGACGGTCTATGCGGGGGCACCTCAGGGCCTGTCCTGACACTCAGTCCTGGTTCAGTCCTGTTTTAGTCCTGGTTCAGTCCTGGTTTGGTCTGTGTGCGGCGCAGAAGTCCGGCATCGCAGTTTAAGTCACGGAAACGGGAAACAGTCGAAAAAATGAGTCATTATCCATTTTTTTGGTTTTGGAAACAAATAATGAAGAAAATCTTTTTTTTTTTTTTCATTTTCTTGTTCTTGGTTTTATTTTGAAAAACAAATGAATGAACGATACACTGATTGGGATACGTCGATAAAAGATGAGAAAAACTCAAACTTCAGTAGCTGAACATTCACTCATACCTGATTGGGAGAGGAGACTACTGTGCATGTCTCCTGCAGAAAGAGCCTCCGTCTGGTCTTTTATCACGCCCGTGTCCAAGTGACGTAGTCTGATAATCCCTCTTTACCTCCAGACCCCCACCTCCTCCCTCTTTCTCTCTCTCTCCTCTTCTCCAGCTCCTAATAAGTCATCAAACTCATATTATCCATTCGAGTCGGTAACAGTTCGTATGTGAAGCGGCCGTCTGGAGCGCGGCATCGATCCCGCGTCCGCATCGAGTCTCACACACACTGGGGCCGCCGGCTCTGGAAACATTTGTGTGACTTATCGGTGTGAGCGGCTCGGAGCGGCGCATCCATCTCGCCCTCTCACTGCGCCCCGAGCTACACCGCGGAACGGATGTGAGGCCGGACGAAGAGCGGCACCGCGCACTATTTCACATGAGAGCCGGTGGAGACGGAGAGAGGACGACGTACACGCCGCACGAACGCTTTAATGGCACTGCATGTTGCCTGTGCGCTCAGTGGGTTTAAAAGGAATTACAATCACAACTGAGCCCGTTATCTTTTTATTTTTTCATGCCCCAGTACAGACAGTGTTGGGAAGGTGACTTTTAATATGTATTCGCCTACAGATTACAGATTACATACACCAAAATGTAGTTTGTAACGTAATCCATTAAATGACTTAAAGTGAGTAATGTAATCTGAATACTTTGGATTACTTGATATTGTCGTGCTTTTTAAAACTACATGAATTGAATGACGAATGTTCAGTCTTTACTTGACCAGATTCAAAATATTATTGATAGAGAAATGATTTTTATATGAAATCACAATTATTTCTGTTACTGTTTACTGTTAGTGTCATATTGTATTAGTTTAGTCCTAGTTTAGACCTGGTTTTAGTCCTGGTTTAGTCCTGGTTTTAGTTCTGGTTTAGTCCTGGTTTTAGTTCTGGTTTAGTCCTGGTTTAGTCCTGGTTTTAGTCCTGGTTTTAGTTCTGGTTTTTTTATCCTGGTTTTAATCCCGGTTTTAGTCCTGGTTTAGTCCTGGTTTCATCCTGGTTTTAGTCCTGGTTTAGTCCTGGTTTTGTCCTGGTTTAGTCCTGGTTTAGTCCTGGTTTTAGTCCTGGTTTTAATCCTGGTTTAGTTCTGGTTTAGTCCTGGTTTAGTCCTGGTTTAGTCCTGGTTTAGTCCTGGTTTAGTCCTGGTTTAGTCCTGGTTTCATCCTGGTTTTAGTCCTGGTTTAGTCCTGGTTTAGTCCTGGTTTAGTTCTGGTTTAGTCCTGGTTTAGTCCAGGTTTAGTCCTGGTTTCATCCTGGTTTTAGTCCTGGTTTAGTCCTGGTTTTAGTCCTGGTTTAGTCCTGGTTTAGTTCTGGTTTAGTCCTGGTTTTAGTTCTCATTTTATTTCTGGTTTTAATCCTGGTTTAGCCCAAAATATGAAAATACCACCATGTAATCCACTTATTTCAACAAAGTAACTGTAATCCAATTACCACTCACTGAAACAGTAACTGTAACTGAATACAGTTACTCATAATTTGTACTCTGATTACATAACTCCAGTACATGTAATCTGTTACTCCCCAACACTGAGTACAGATATATTATAGAAGCAGCTCTTGAGGTCAAAATGAGTGAACTAGTGTTGTAATTCTTATGTAATTATATGTTTTTGGACTCTGAAAGTTGTTGAAAAGTGCAAATTATTTTAAATGAAGTTCAGTTCTTCATGGGAAAAGGAGAATTTGTCAACTGGGCAAAAGTTTATTTGGTCAAATACGTTTCGCAGCTCATCTAAGCCACTTCTTAAAATGCTGCTGGACATTAGTCAGGTTGGAGTCGCCTAGTGCTTCCGCTCAATTTCATTTCTCTCCAGCGACTAGGTCAGGAAGCAGAATACACTCGACGGTTTCCAAGAACCCCGGAAGTGCGAGTTCGGGCACCAGCCAATCAGCGATGAGCCATATATTCTGTGTTGACAACGATTCCACAGATCGAGGATTTAAAGGTTGTATAGAGGATTTTTTAAGGGAAGTGAAATACAGCGACAGTCCTTTTTCAAATGTTGTGCATGCGTGACACCACCTTCCTCCTCCACAGCCTCAGTAGAAACATCTCCTCCCGCCTCTTTACTCTAGAAATCACGTTTGTTTACATCCAGCGCGTGTTCAGAATTACTGTTGAAGTGACCTGCCTAGAAGTCATTTATCAACAGGCGCGTCAGTTTTTAGATCCTTTGTCTGTTTCAGTCGTGCCATCGCTGGAAGGAATCTCCAAGAATCACCTCAGTTTGTCTTCGCTCCTTTTCCCCCGTCTCTTCTTCTTTCAGCGACCTCAAAAACGGACTTTCTTTCGCGGCGAACTGGTCGTGGAATTCTCGTCCGCCATCGCGACAAACTTTGTGCGAATTGCGAGGAAGCGACGGCTTGAAAAAGCCTCAAAGAACCGCCGCATAAACCACGTAAACCCAACGCGCCGGCGAGTGAGCCAATAGAAAATGAGGCAGCCTCTTTTTCTATTGGCTGATGATTATCTGGCCTCAACACGTCCACAGTTGATAGATTTTCATTCTTTTTTTTTTTTTTGATCATCATAATTACAAAGCTGCTGCGTCTCTGTAACAGTATTTTAAACTTTCAGTGACAATTTGAAACTGAAAAAAAAATCCTCCATACAACCTTTAAAGCCAGAACAAAGAGAATATTTGGTGAATTTTATCAAGGGGAAAGACGTTATTGTCCTTCTTCCTACAGGATTTGGGAAAAACTTAATATACCAGTTAATCCCGTTAGCGGCGCATTACATACGTCACGACCAAATAGCAGCGATTGGTTAAATAAAAATAAAAAGTACCCGCCTACTGTCGAGTGAACAGTTCCTAATGCAGATGGTTTCCAAAAAGTGAAACCCGCTGCTGACTTAGGCAAGGTGGACACTGCCTTACACTGTATCTGCCTGAAATGAGGAGCTAACTACACCGAAACTACTCTGAAACTAACACACCTACTT